GGGCCTGTTGGAATGTCTTTTGTGGGCCTTTTGGGGCCCTCTTGGATGCCTCTGGGATCTTCTTGGGGCAGAGAGCTTGGAATTTCAGGTGGATTTGCCCATCTTGGCCTCCTCTTGGGCGCTTTGGGGGGGCCGTTTGCGCCCCCCGGGCCCCGGCACCCACATTTGTGGTCGTGGTCCCGGCCCTGGGCCCCCGGACCCGGTGCGCCGTTATATTTATAAATGATTGTGCTGCTTGAAGCTCTCTTGAAGCAGTTTTCGGGCCCTCTTGGGGGCCTCTTGGGCAGTTTTTTGTTTGTTTGTTCAGCCTCCATGACTCTCAAGCCCTGTTCAAAAACGAAATTAGCGCTCCACGTCAATGCGCGCGCTGCTCGAAGTCTGACTTTAAACGGAATGCGCGCGCTGTCACGCCGGATGGCGGAGCACGTGCAGGAGGAACGAGGAATGACGGAGGTTTGAGAACGCAGGAGGCGAAAGACAAGCGAGAAGGGGGCGAGGTTCGGGCAAATACTCGGCGACAATCACCGACACGACGTGGATGCAACGCGCTGGGCGTGCACTTGAGGGGAGCAACCGCAAGCCAGCTGACGGCCAGAAAATGAGCCCGCGGCGCCTGTCTCAGAACAGTCCAGAGGCTCAATGACGGTCGCTGGGCGCGCAGAGCACCAGTCGACAGGCACGATCAGGCGGCATCATGCGAGAAGAGCGCTATGACAGGCATCGTGAAGGATGGAGACGGGGGCATTAAAATTGTTTGATGAGGAAGAAGAGGAGGGAGGTGAAGGTGAGGAGTCGGCGCGGTCGCAGTAATAGCAAGAACCCCATTCTGAGGAGATGGGGTACCATAAGTTGTACTTAACGAAGTTGGCAGCAAAAAAAGGCTGGGCACAGATCCCAGACAGCGCAGGCGAGCTCAAGCCAGCTCAGCAGACGCTCTCTGAAACTAGACCGACGAAACAGGAACCGCAGGCGATGTCTGCACCATCCCCAGCATTTGCAAGTTGGCCGCCAGAACGGAGCTCGCACCAGGAGGGCAAGAAAAACAACGTGCACGCGGATCGAGAACCTTCCACGTAAGAGACAAGTCACCCTACGGACGACATCGTCGGAAAATACGTGTGCAATAGGAGCGAAGCTTTGGCGAGAAGAGTAGCAGGTTCGCCGCAGCTTCAAGACGCCGACTTCGAAGCGTCAGATTGGCATCGCTGATGTGTATGCATTGTCGGTAAAACATTTGGCCACGGTTGGTATCGCTGCGGCCCGATACTTGCACTTGTTCAGTTGCAGTGCCGACTGCAATCGTAGTATCAATGGCGTGAAGACTAGCCGCGGTGGTCGTCCAATAACCCTAGCCGCGGTGGCAGTCCAATAATACGAAATAACCGCTAAGAGTAACATCGCCCGTAGGCAGCACGACTACTGCTACTACTGCGGTCGCCAGCCTTGGCCGAGACGCAGAGCTCCCCCGATGAGGGCCCGCGAAAACTTTTTACACCACACACAATACCTACATCTGGCTTCTCCGACCTGATGAGGGCGTCTGCGGCGGCCTCCTGCACGTCGACGGCGAACTGGGTGTAGACGCCGATCAGGGCGATGATGGCGAAGATCAACAAACACTGGGAGATCCTGACCGTGTCACCGAAGATAATCGCATCCACGACATAGGCGATGCCGATATCGGCGGACGCAACGATCCTGGTCTTCAAGTTGCCGGCCGTCAAGATGGCCGTGTTGTAAAGCGCGACCATCACGGGGAGCGGCATGACACCGCCGACGAGCATGGGGAGGCCCCAGCCATGGAAAGGACCTCGCAACAAGTACTTGTGCTCGAACACGAGCATCAATATGATGTTGAACACGGACTTGTACAGCTCGTTCACGAGGAAGCACCTGAGCGTCTCGGCACTCGAATCCTCCTCCAGGGCGTCGAGGCAGGACTTCGCCGTGGCCTCAAAGGCGATGTCGCCGACTCCGTCTGAGAGGGCTGCACCAAGGCCCAAGAGCAACCCGACGAGCGACATGTTAATTTCGCCCTCGTCACCGAGAGAGTAGACGATGATGCACAAGAGCAAAGCCGCCATGGTGAGGAGCTGCGTGCGGTACGGCGTGGTCCGCGTCAACCAAATCTCCCCGAGGACGCCCAGCAGAATCGCTTGTTGAGCAGAACCACCAAGGTCGCGCTGAGGCCGTTCGCGAGCGCGAAATTTTCAAGCACGAAGGTCAACCCGGAAAAGACTCCCGGAAGGGCGGCGCTGGCATACCCCTTGTTGCATACCTTGCGGGCCTCCGCGCGGCCGTGCACCGCGAGGAGGAGGAAGAGAAGCACGACGCAGAGCAACAGCGAGCCGAGCAGCAGCGGCGCGATGCGGGAGGACTCGGCCAGCATGCCGTCCTGCGCCCAGCGGGAGCCAGCGGAGCGCCACGCGAGGGAGACCGGGAGGCTGGTCAAGACAGTCACCCTCGCCGCCGTGCTCGTCTTCGTCACGGCCTTGGACATGCGCGCACAGGGGGCAGAGCCGCGTGCGGCCCACGGACGAGCGGTCGGCCGCGCAAGCGAATGGGTCTAGCGGAGACGGGCCTTGCGCCAGGAAGGCTCGAGCCAAAATGGCTACGGGGGCCTCTTGGGCCGTCTTGGGGCGATTTTTGGGGGCCTTTGGTGCCGTCGTGGCCACTGTGAAAACTGAAGAAGCAAGCGCATATCCCGAAAATATGTGCTTCTCCTGAGGGGATTCTTGATTTCTGCCCTTGGGGGGGCCCTCGGCGGCCTCTTGGACTGTCTTCAGGACCTTTGTGGCCGTCTGGGAGCAGTCTTGGCTGTCTTGGAGCGCTCTGGGGCCGTCTTGAGGCCATCTGAATGCGCTCTTCAGCCATCTTCCAGGCAAGCTTTGCAAGCCTCTTGGTCCAGGCTTGGGGGCTTCTGGGGGGGTCCAGAGCCCCTTCTGGGCCCTCTTGCCTCAAGGCCACCACGGGCCCCCATGCAAACCATACTTTGGCCCTCTTGCGATGTTTTGGGGCCCTCTTGGGCCGTCTGGGGGCCCTCTTGGACCGTTTTCGCAATTTTCGGTGCATCTGGGGCCGTTTTGGAGACGATCTTTGGGGCCTCTTGGGCCGTCTTGGGCCCGTCTTGGGGCCGTCTTGGACCGTTTTCGGCCCCTTTGGGGCCGTCTTGGGACGATCTGTGGGGCCTCTTGGGCCGTCTGGGGCCCTTCTGGACCCGAAAAGAGGAGAACCCGAAAAACCTTCAAAAACCTATGGAAATACATGTTTTTGGCCTCCCTCTTGAGGGCCTCTGGAGCCGTCTCGAGGCTCTCTTGGACCGTCTGGAGGCCATCTGAAGCCCTCTTGGGGCCGTCTCGGGACTCTCTGGGGCTGTTTTGGGGCCCTCTTGGGTCGTCTTGGGGCCCTCTTGCCGTTTGACTAGAACAATTACAAGCAAACAGGACATGGGAGCTGCTTCATTCGAAAAAATAGTTGGAAGCGGCCCCTGGGCGGCCACTACAACCATGCCCGCCCCCCTTGCCCTCCCTGGACCTCTTCGTAGAGGGCTTCGCCCCAACTCAACGTACATCGCTCGTACCTCGCTCTTTCCGTTACCTGGGCCGGTACGGGAACGGAAAGGGCGCTGCAGGAACTTGCCGGGGATGGTTCATGGCACCCTTCGCTCCTGGGAGCCTTGGCGTTCAGAGATTGTTGCGTCACCGCTCTCTGTTGGGAACCCTGGTGTTCACAGAATTTTGCGTTGCCTCTCGCTCTTGGGTGCCTTACTGTTAAGAACTTTTTACGTCACCGCGCTCTGGGGAGCCTTGGTGTTCAGAGCGCTTGTTACGTCACCGCTCGCTGCTGGGAGCCATGGTGTTACTTGGCCCCTCTGAAGCTTATTGGGAATCTTTGGGGGGCTCTCTTGGAGCCGTTTGGGCCCTCTTGGGCCGTCTTGGGGCCAGCCCAGTCCCCACACCCAAGCAGCCCAGTTCCCACACCGCCTCGTCGGACCTTCTCGGGAGCCTATTGGGGCACTCTTGGAGCTCTCTTGGGGCCGTTTTGGGGCCGTCTTGGGCCGTTTCGGGGCTCTCGTGGGCCGTCTTGGGGCCAGCCCAGTCCCCACACCCAAGCAGCCCAGTGCCCACACCCTTCTTGAGGCCCTCTTGGGGCTCTCTTGGGGCCGTTTTGGGGTCCTCTTGGGCCGTTTTGGGGCCGTCTTGGGCCGTTTGGAGGCCCTCTTGAACAATTTTCGGTTTCTTTGGGGGGCCTCTGGGGCCGTCTTGAGACGATGTTTGAGGCCTCGTGGGCCATGTTGGGCCCTTCTGGGCCAGAAAAGGTGGGAACCCGAATGTTTTAAAAACTCTCGGAAATCAATGTTTTTGGCCTCCTGAGGCCCTCTCGAGCGCCCTCTTGAGGGCCTGTGGAGCCGTCTCGAGGCGCTCCTGGATCGTCCGGACGCCATCTGAAGCTCTCTTGGGGCCGTCTTTGGGCCGTTTTCTGCCCCTTGGGGAGCCTCTGGGGCCGTCTTGGGACGATGTTTGGAGCCTCGTGGGCCGTGTTGGGCCCTTCTGGGTCCGAAAACGTGAGAACCCGAAAAACCTGTTTTAAAGACCCTAGGGAAGTCAATGTTTTTGACCTCCTGAGGCCCTCTCGAGAGCCCTCTTGAGGGCCTGTGGAGCCGTCTCGAGGCGCTCTTGGACCGTCCGGACGCCATCTGAAGCTCTCTTGGGGCTGTCTGTGGACCGCTTGGGGGGCCCTCTTGGGACGTATTTGGGCCCTTGAGCAGTTCACTCGAAAAAATTCGAGGAAACGGGCCGTAGAAGGCGCCCGGGAGCCCCTTCATTCAAACAAATAATGAGGAAGCGGCCCCCGGGCGGCCATTACACCCATGCTTCCCCCCCTCGCCCCTCCCCTGGACCCCTCCCTAGAAGGCTTCGCCCCCCACAGAAACGTCATCACTCGTACCTCGCTCTTTCCGTTACCTGGGCCGGCACGGGCGCGGAAAGAACGCTTCAGGAATTTGCCCGAGATGGCTCATGGCACCTGTCGCTCTGGGGAACCCTGGCGTCAAGAGCAGCTCGTCACGTCACCGCTCTGTTGCGTACCCTAGTGTTCAGAGATTTTCACGTTGCCGCTCGCTATTGGGAGCCTTGCTGTTCAGAGCATTTTGCGTCACCGCGTTGCTGATCTGTGTCTGGAATAGGATGCCTGTCCTCGATCCATGGAAAAAAAGGTTGCAGCGCCCTGCTGGGCCCTGAGGGTCACTGATGCTGGAGCTGATCACGGGCGCATGATGTCGACGAAAGGCAGGTAGTTCGCCATGTACACCTCGTGCTTGTACGTCAAGCAAACTAGGGCAGCTATCCGCAAATACAGTCTGGCGGCGCTGTGCCAACCGCTGCTCATGAGCATGCAGCGCCCGTCGGCCGCGAGGCCGCGGTCCTGGTAGATCGCCGGCGGAAGGCGCTTGGCCTCGCGGGCGTGCCTGGCTGCCGGGCAGCACCACAGGTAGTGGTCGGTGGTGTTCCGGACCTGGCACAGCGGCATTTCCTGGCGGTGGCTGAGCTGGTCGTGGCTGGGTTCCCCGGCGACGCAGCAGCGCCACGCCAGAGCCCGGTCAGGCTTGCCAATGCACCGCCCCTGGAACATCAGCAGGGTCTTGGTGTCGATGTCTATGAGGTCTGGGCGAGCGTGCCGCTGCGTCCGGTCCTCGAAAAGTCGGAAGACCCACCTCCGCCAAGCCTTGTGGTGAAAATGGTCGACCTTCGCCTTGGTGTCTTCTCCGACATGCGAAGTCTCACCGCACATCTCGAACACGAATGAGGAATCTGTCAGGATTCACGTCGCCGCGCTCTGGGGAACCTTGGTGTTCAGAGCTTGTTGCGTCACCGCTCGCTGCTGGGAGCCATGGTGTTACTTGGCGTCTTTGGGGCTTCTTGGGAGTCTGCTGGGCGAGGCGAGGCGAGGCGACGCGAGCGCGCGGTTCCGCCGGGAGCGGGGCCCTTTAGGGCCTGCGCGGGGGGGCTGGGGCCCTCAGTGCTTGTAGTCCTTGTTTGCCGAGGTCGGGGTGCTGAGTTATGAGCTGGTGGACGCTGGAGGTCAAGTGGTGCAGGCAGGCGGCCCCAGCATCGAATCGATAAGCCGGATCGGGTCGACCGGAGCATCGAATCGGCAGAAATCGGCAGCCAAATCGAAATCGGCTGAAATCGGCAGGTCCGAGCCGGATCGAGTCGGAAACCGGACCGCGTCAAGCCGGATCGGAATCGAAATCGGACCCCCACCCTGGGGAGGGTTTGGGGTCCCTGGGCTTTTGAACCCCGCCCTGGGGGGGGTTTGGGGATCCGGAGCTTTTGGACCCCCCCCCCCCGCGGGGGGGTTTGGGGTCCTGGGGCTTTTGGACCGCCCCCCCTGGGGGGGGGGGGGGGTCCTGGGGCTTTTGGAACCCCCCCCCGGGGGGGGGGTGGGGTCCCGGAGCTTTTGGACCCCCCCCCTGGGAGGGGTTTGGGGTCTCGGGGCTTGTGGACCCCCCCCCCCTGGGGAGGTTTGGGGTTTTTGGACTGCCCCCTGGGGGTTCCTCCTCCCTCCTCCTCCTCCCCTTGGGGGCCAGAGCCAGAGCGAAGCAGGATCGGCAAAAGCCGGCAGGAATCGGCTAACGCATCGAATCGGCAGAAATCGAAATCGGATTCGCGAATCGGAATCCCGGAATCGAGTCGGTTCGAAATCGGAATCGCGGAAATCGATTCGAATCGAACCGGCGGAATCGGAATGACCCCTGTGCAGGTGGAAGTGGAGAGTTGGAAGCCGGATGCTGGAGCCGGAGTGCTGGGTGGTCGGCAGGTGGAGGTGGAGGTGGAAAGTCGGACGCTGGAGGGTGGAGGTCGGATTGCTGAGCTGCTGGAGCCGTCTTGGAGCCGTTTTGGCCCTTTTGGGCCGTCTTGGGGCCAGCCTGGTCCCCACACCCGAGCAGCCCAGCCCCCACGACCAGCAGGGAGCAGCAGCACAGGCTGGGGGGGTGAACAGCAAAGACCAGGAGGGCGAGGAGGGGACCATGTAGGGAGCGGGAGGAGAGCCTGCGCCAGGGCGAGGAGGAGAATGGCGCAGAGGAGACAGTGAGGACGCTTTAACAATCACGAGGACGACGATGAGGGACATTTCGAGATTAGCCAGGAACATTCTCATGCGGGGTCCTACCGTCGGAATAATTTTCATCTCTGGGGTTTCTTGAGAGTCTTTTGGGTTCCATTTTGGGCCGTTTTGAGGCTCTCTTGGGCCGTCCGAAGGCTCTCTTGAGACTGTCTTGGTGCCCCCCTGTGGCGCCCAAGTGTGATGACTGCTACCCCGCGATTGCCGCAGCCTGGAAAATACATGTCTACCTTCCAAGAGCCAGCTGCACGCTTGAGACATCCCACAATCTGGGCGCCAAAGGGCAAGTGCCCTACCCCTTGGTGCCCACCCTCCCTTTCTGAGGTGCCCACATGATTCGCCTTTCCTGGAAAAACACGTTCATCTCCAAAGCCA